CTAGTTATTCTTTCTCGATACAACTTTGCAATACACAGAATTTCCACAGTCATTTTAACCTAGCTACTTTTATAAACACACGCTATAATTCACATCGATTCACACACTTTACTTACGGTGTCTACTGTTCGCTTGACTCAATTATCTCTATCTTCAATCTATCTGCCTTTATATACTAAAAACTTAGGGCGTCTAGCAAATACTGGGATATTTGTGAGGTTCCCCGATAAGTCACGATCCTTCTAGAAACTTCAGCGCGCATGCTCCCATCGTCGCGTGACTTCCGCTGTCGTAACATTATAATTAGCTCTACGAGCTCTTTGTTTTTGAAGTACAAAGTTACACTTTGAGTATCAAAACCCGATTTTTATCATTCTTAGTCCTCAGCCTTACCGCTGAACGAGAAGATCTAATTATATTAATGCTACTTTCCTATTTACTATTCTCCCCAGTAGCCCAAAGGTTATTCTGAGGGCTTATAACACTAAATTTGAGGCTTCAGTATTCAGTTTTGGCACAGTACAGATAGTCCATCGTGTAGGTTTACGACTAACAACAAACACACATATTTACAAATAAATAAAATGAATTAATTATCTTAAAAAATAACTTATTTCATATATTGGTGTTATTATTCACATATTGAAATTTATCATTTTAAAAAATTGTTTCTACTTTTGAATAATTTTGATTCGGATTTGTAGAAATAAAAGTGTAAAAAGATTTTTTTCAACAAACTTTTCAGCGCCATCTGATCGTAAATGTAATGCTTTGAAAATGAACAATATCATTATCTTGAAAATGAACATTATCTTCTAATGACAAACTATCTAGTAATAACTATGTAACTATGTTCTAACCTTGATTTTTCTCTCCGAACCTTCATATAAAATAGAAACAGGCACTAAAAAGTAGAAAGAAAACATAACACTGTTAAATCACTTGTTTGGAGGTATTAATACCTAGTAAAATTATATAATGTTTTTTGTGCTTCTCTTTTATTTTTGCCTTTTCAAATGTTAGAATAATTTTACTTTTTTGTTTATTCTATTGGAATAAACCTCAAGAACCACATTTCGTAACACAATATTCCGCATATAGGCCATACTAAATGTATTGATTACATAAACATGTCTTTAAATAAAAGAGCATCTATTCTAAATATTTACATTATTCTGAAAATATCAATAAAACAAAAAAAAAGTTAATACGCTTTGTATAAATTGTTGAGAAACATTATACTAACTTCATAATAAAAATTCATACTGCAGACGACATATTTCACTATCTTTATGCAACTCCAGAAGCCCATTCACTGGTTTCAACTAAAAATTTAAATGCCAACTCTAAAGAGAAAAGTATAATTAGTACTATTTTATTGGTATTACTACCTAGATTACAGAGCTTTGTTGTAATATCGAGTCCTATTGCTAAGTATAATGTAAAAAGTTCAGTATTCCAGTGAACTTCATTACGGTTTAATTTTAAATAACACGGAAGTAAATAATTATTGTCATATATAACTCTACTGCGCATTTCAATTGACATCACATATGATATACGCATATCTCATTCTCACAGTTTACAAATAAAAATTCAGTTGAAATAGAATCCATCTTTGTCATTATCGATTGAAACTACAGGTTATTTATTCTCTTTTGTTCAAACCTAACTTTAAGTACATACGTTAGGCTCTTTTCTTCGAATTACCAAACTACTCACACGAAAATTTACGTGCTGTGCAAATTAATTTTAAATTCGAACTACTTGTAAGTTGTAATTGATATCATGCATGGATAGAACTCCTGTTAAAACCGTAGCATAGCTTAGCATAAGTCTATAATTATCGAAATACTTACAGTTTACTTTTGCTATACAAATAATAATGTGATACCAAAAGCTCTTCAATTTCAAACACAACTATAACAGTCATTACACCTCCCCTTATCGCAGCAACGTTAACCTCGATATTGCTCTAAGATTATCACAGCCCTCTAAAGTATATTATTACACTATTGTCAGCAGCGCCATCTCGTGATTCATTTTATACACATTAAACAACTTCATCGTTGAGTATTATTTTTGTTCAACAATTTAAACCTGAAATCTTACATTTTGTGAAATTAATGGTTCAAAAAGGAATATTATATTTATGTACACTTTATGACTAGGCCTTCTGAATACTGTAGAACAGTTTTATGATTTTGTTCTTCCATTTTTAAATACTTTTATATTAATATCAATAATCACAGATCAATAATTATTTTAACTGAGCATTGGTGTATACATTATTATAACATTTAAATATATTTATGCTGATCGCCAGATTTTAATCAAGTTTTAAATATTATTAGAACATTTCATTAGCAATAAAACTAAAATAATTTAAAAAGTAATCTACTCTGATCCTGTGTAAAAATTTAGAATACGTATGATAATTTACCACTAACTTTTAGTTTAAGCGCAAAGGTACACAAATGGTTTATGTACGCTGTGCTCACCACAATAATCGAGCCTCAAATTTTAGCGTTATAATCACTCAGTTTTACTGCTGAGTCACAGAAGTAGGATTTAACTTTTATAAATTTGCAAATAACTACTGTAAATATCATTTCGGAGTAATTTAGAAATGATCAGCAGCGTAGGCAACTATAAAGGAAGTTTCAATTTAGTAGATGTTACTACTACAACTACTAAATAACCAGACTATTCAGTGACATTGTGGTCGTATAAATTCATACCTTTAGACTAGTTTACAGAAGAAAAAAATATTCTCCTACAATTACACTTTATCAAATTCTTTGCACATTTCTGCTCAAAATTTAAATCACAAACAGGTGACCTTTAAACTCAAGAGCCCAAATAAAATTTGTGTTTAAATTAACTGAAATATAGCAATTGTCATTGCATAAAAATATTAGTGAATAAATAATGATGAAAATGGGTAAATTGATATCTCTTTGTACACTTTATATCACGTTCAGATTTTTCTGCACAAAACTAACGATTCTTAATGCGTCTGGCGAAATATTGTTCCCGAAGACGTTATAATTTTCCTATACTGAACCTGTATTTTCAATAGGTATTTACCTCCTTTTTGGGCAAAAAACATTTTCGCATGCCGCAAGCTTTGAGTTCCCACGCACACAACGATCAACATGGTTCAACTGCATCTCGCTTGTAAATCACCATGCAACAACCCTCCACAAATAGGAGTGCGACACACCCTCATGACGCATGAGACTCCCTCAATTCGATTCTACCGAACTATTACTTCGAGTTTTGGCAGAAAATGGAAGGACTGGTTTTCAGTGGGGAGGAAGGGTGGGAAGGTAAGTACCTATATGAAATACATTTTCAGTATAGGAAAATTATAACTTCCGATACAGTACAATACCTCCCCTTACATAGATAGCTAGAATCTCACATTGAATAGGTGGAAGGACTGGTGTGAGTGAAAAAAAGAAGCATTCTTCAAAAGCGTCCAAAGAAAACCCCAAAAGACAGACATGGGAGACGGACCACTTCTTTACCAGGTATACATTTCGCCCAGTGTGGAAAGAGATGACGGAAAATGTGAGGAGTACATCCGAGAGGAAGAGAACAATGGTTGGATAGCGAGCCGAACCACCCAATTCTGAATTCAATTTTCTTAGATGACTATAATGAGGGAGTGAATAAAAAGGATGTGTCCAAGGTGTAGAGTAGCTAGGGTGAGGTGGACCAAACACAGGACGTCATCTGCATCATGAAGAAAAGAATCCAAAGCAAGATGTACAGCTGGAAGCTCCATGATGTTGATATGGTAAGATCACTTGGCAGAAGACCACAGACTTGAAGCTTCCTGCTGTTTGACCCACGCCCCCCCCCCCAGCCATGGCGGGAAGCGTCCATGAATATATGCAAATCCGGACGAGGGGGAGGAAGCAGAACACCCGCCACGTGTGAGCCCTGTCCAACAAGGGAAGGAGGAAGGGAAATAGGAGACTCTAATGAATCCCACACAATGTTGCACTGTAAAGCCTACTGAAGATATGTCATATGTGCTTAACCAAAGAGGATAAGTGCTTCTATAGAAGACCACATCTCCAAAACCAATAGAACCCCGCAAGCAGTAATAGAGGGAGCAGTAAGAGCATGGAGAACTGAAAACTCCATCAAATGGAGTCTAAGAGGAGAAGGTTGAACTCCGACTGCGATGTGTGTGTTGAAAAAGACACCCTAGTGGACAATATATTGGGTAGGTATAAGAAATAATTTCTCCAACTTGAATAAGCAACCCACATGAGCTGCTTCCAGGAACAGCAAATGAGTGTGATGGGTGGACTCCTGTTTGGAATGAGCTAACAGAAGCCAGATGCTCATGTAATGGTATAAGTACAATTCCCGAGCATGCATATGTCGGGCAAAAGCCTTGACCACTCGAAAAAAGACATACAGAGCCAAAGAAGCCCAAAAAGCAGGGGTGTCAAATTGATAACATACCCCATGATGAACAATCTAAAGATAGCACTTTGACAGACAAGATATTGGAATATGCATATAAGCACTTGTGATGTTTACTTTGGTCATCCATAAGCATGGAGAAAAAGCTCACCTGAGGGTGAGAAAAGACTCCATGGTAAATCAGGGCAGAACCAAACATTTATTGAGGCGGGACAAATTGATCACAGACCACTGGTCTCTAGTTTTCCTGGGTATCACAAACAGCCAGGAATAAAAACCTGCAGAAGGATGAATTACAGGCTTGATGGCTTTTTGGGAGAGGAGACTTTGTACCATCTCAGACAGCATTTACTAGTGGTAGGATTCCGAGGCAACAGAAAGGATATGGATACCCGAGACAATGGAGGAGGAGAAAGGAAGTCGATGACAAGTCCCTTTAGATAATACCTGTATAATACACAGATTTGTGACAAAAACTAGCTATAGGGGAACAGAATCGGTCAAATGAGTCCCCATTGGATTGGGACTCACCAGGTAGCCATTGGTACTGTTGGCGACATATCCATCTGCATCGAATAATATAACAAGAGGAGGAATCCCTGGTAAGAGCTGGGAAGGAGCAGAACAGGAAATGGTAATAGGGGCTTGTCTAGGCTCTGAATGAGACAAACAATCAACCAAAGGTGAAAGGATCGGTTGCTGTCTCACCAATTCAACACAAGATTCCAAAGTCTCGGGAATATTTCCAAAAACAGACCACTGGAGAAAATGGGCCATACGCAAGTCCTGAAGATAAGTAGGTTGTAAACAAACTTGGGACAATACAGCATCCCAACAACAAAGAAACCATGTATGTAAGGAAAGAGTTAAAGAAGACAAACGTGCCAACATTGAGATAATCAGTGAGAGGCTATCTATCGAAAAACCCTCAGAATCTCAGTGGATCACAAGATGATCAGGGTCCACCCCCACCACATACACAGGTAAAATCGATTCCAACTGTTGAGAATCAAGAAACGTAAATTCAGCCAGATAGTAGGCTAAAGCAAACAAATCCAAAGCTCATGAAAGGGGAGGCATGCTAGCACTCTCAACCATCTGAGAGACAAAACACTCTGCATGAACCCGGGGAAGGGAGAGGAACACAAAATACTGAAAGGAGGGGGTATCATGTAACAAAGAGGGAACAGGATTATAAGAAATCGGGGAAATAGATAAAACAGAACACACCTGAGAAATTATGTCTAAAAAAGCCGTATTAGGCCAACCTGATTCCACAGTAGGGGCATAGGAAAACATGGCAAAATCAGGTGGAGGGAAAAGGCTGTCAAATTCATTGTCAACCTGATCAGGCCCAGCATGTTCAGGAATATTGGCAACATCAGGAGAAGCAAGTTGACTCGTATAATGATCAATCTCATGGTGGATGAGAGTCGATAATTCCTAGCCAAGTTACCCCCACCTGCAGCCTGTGTAAGTGTGATGGTAGAAGGCATTACCTCCGAAGTGGTAACTTGGACTTCGGAATTCAATGAATGATCAAACACAACAGTATTAGAATAAAAAATATAATTAAATCTGAGAAAAATTATCATGAAGTTCATGAACTTTTGTGAAATTGAAAAGAAGAATTCCACTTCAGAATTAATTTTTTAAAAATTCCAAAAGTTTAAAGACAAAACACGATTGTAGAGCACAATAAAAAAATGTCTTGACATGAGCACTGACAAATGAGAAGTGATAGTTCAGTAGAATCAAATAGAGAGAGCCGCATGCATCAGAAGGGTGTGTCACACTCCTATTGGTGGAGTGTTGTTGTAAAATGATTTACATGTAAGACACAGTTAAACCATATTGATCATAGTGTGAGAGCTCAAGGCTTGTGAAAATATTTTTGTGCATATGGGCAGCATTAAAAAGAAAAAAACTATTTTATCAGAAATTTAACTTTTATGTAGTTTTTATATATGGTTTTTATAACCATTTCCATAAATCCTTATTTGTTTCAAAATTTAACATATTGTTACATCTCTGGTCGTTTGTTAATTTCGTGTATAATTTCTTTCCGAGAAACTTGAGTGATACAAGTCTTTTTTTAAATAAAACTTGTTTATTCTTTCTCAATTCAACTTCGTAATACACTTAATTTCCACAGTCACTTTAACTCAAACACACGCTACAATTCACAACGAACGTTTCACGCACTTTACTTTCTACCGTGCTTGACTCAATTGTCCGTCTCTGTCTGTCTGCAATTATCTATATCTATGCCGTCACTTCTCGCCAGTCTTATGTATACGAAATAGAGGGTGTCTGGAAAACACTCGAGCCTTCACGAACATTCTAGATACTCTTTACGTGTTACCAGCGTCACGTGAATTCCACTGTCGTAACACTGTCCCTTCTTTTGTATTGTTCGTCCCGAACAATAGTCACTTACATTAAACCAATAGATAAATAACAATAACTTAATTAAATGGACAGAATTTACAAACACAAAATTAAAATACAAC